GAATTGTTGCACGGTGTGCAGGCTTATGGATATCACTTCTGTAGTTATTTATAAGGTTTGTTTCCAGTTGCCTCGAAGTTGACAACCAACAGCTCACTGTTCGTCAGTAGTTCTCTCACAGCATTTCTACACAGACATTTATAAGTGTCCACTAGTAAACTGTTAAACTATCTGATAAGCAACTCCTATTAAAAGTCTCAAAATTAGCAGCAGCAATACAGCATATGAACTAACCAGCTGGTTGTCGGTCTGTTATTCATGACTGGAGAAATATCTTGGCTTCAAATATTTTTGTATACATAAGGTATGCAAATACGTGGACGACTTCATTTTCTCTGTGGGTTATTCAAATTACTATATACCATACTATAAATTACTCTACATATTCATCGTTCCAAAAATCATTACACCTATTCTGCGACAAGTGGTAATGTGCCTCATTCAACCACATATAATAGAAGATAAATTATGGGTGAAATAATCTTAAAGTTACTCAATATTCGTAAAAATTATATTCAGGTCCATACATAGTTGTGTTCCATAAACTATGAAAATATGGAAATGTCCAATTTCGTAATAACTGTGTTACCTTTAGGGTTCTGTAACTTAACACATGAGATAAAAAAACTGCTATGTTACCACCATGGGAATATATAGAAAGCTTGCCTTCCAAGTCCCAGTAAATCTAACCTAAATCACAAGTCTGTTGGCCCCCTCAGCGGCAAGTCTGAGGGTCTAAACGCCAAAAGTCGGATTTAGACAGCCTATTGTGTAATGCGCTTAACAACAAACATACAAACAACCGTGTTGTACAGAATCAAAATAGTTTAAGATCAAATTCCCATCCCCCCCCGTCTTTCGGAAGAACCATATTTTATGTTTCAATTATTCAGTCATTCAATTTAGGAGATAATAAAATCTATTATGAAATTCAACTATATCTTCTCGTCTTTTCACGCGTTCGGACAGTATATGTGACATGGGACGAGATTACGAAGTTCAAATAGAATTAATGGAAAGAAAGCCAAATATGATAATCAACCGTCTTTCATCAACCGTATTTTCTATTACTTCTCTGGAGCATTTTGCGCTTCAGTATTTTGTTGTGAGCATTATTTGTTTGTAGCCTCAGACCCGGAGTTCTTCATTTAGTGAAAAAAAGGAAGAAGTGAGCAGTAATAAGTGTTTATATTATATTATATAGAGTGTGTGTATCATACATGCGGTTTTAATAGTTTCTCTGATTGTTTCAGAACTTTGCGCAAAGCGACACGAGAGCTAACTGCGCAAGCTGTGAAACAATAGGTTACAGGAAAGGCACCTAGTAAACGGCACCCGCTGTCAACTCTTGGGTTACTATTATGGAATAGCGGGTCTTGGCCGTCACTCTTATAACACACCCACGACTCCAAAATGCGGAACGTGATTTTGCAACAACTGGAAACGTGCCACGGACTCCAACATTCACAACCCGTCACACTAACCAGTTGTTCATGTCCTGCCCAGGTAGCTAGTCAACAACACCTACCATCCTTGTCTGAGCGAATAGTGAGATTTGAACGTCACTATTATAGCTCACCCAATGCCTCAAAATGCAGAGCACGTTTTTTTTTGTGGCAACGGGACACGGGCCATGAATCCTCGAATTGATATCTGACACGTTAACCATTACACCACTGTTCTAATGGTAATTTAAGGGTGCATCTGTCGGAAATAGGCACTGACAGGCAATTACATTTAACGCAGCACAATTATATTCGCTACGTTTCACATGCCTGCTTTTTGTAACATAGCACAATAAAACGTTAATACTCAAGCGAAGCCTGAATTCTTGCCTATCGGGTTTTATATATAGTGTATTGTTCACAAAATGTTTGTGTTTCACATCATACGCAATTTATTAAACAAGAAAAAATGTCCGCTTTCTCTTTGCAGTAATTTTCCACAAACATCTTTATACTCACATTACACGTGTCTCTTTATCCACTACCAAATGGTAATTTCCTTCAAATTTCATGAAGGTTTATTGTCCAGTAACTTAACTTGTTCTCTCTTGCGTTACTCCAGTAAAATGTTATGCTAATCACGTGATCCTTCCATAATTGTTTATTATGGAGAGGGAAATTCGCCCTGTCGCCTTCATCACAGAGGGAAATTCGCCCTGTCGCCTTCATCAGATTAACTGAGCCTCAACACATTCGGTTGACAATGCAGTGCTCGTATGAAGAGAATATTGTTATTCGAAAGAATTAAAAGACACACACAACACGTATAACTGCCTTCCGCTCTCTTACAAATAAAAGAACCGATTTTCGCGGATAGCAAAGATTATTCGAAAACGCCATAACCACAAGAAATGTTAACCACGCTTTATAAAAAAGCCATAAACAGCTTAAGCAGTCATTGTTGCCTAATTTTTTTTGACATGACATTAGTCTCCAACTACCTATCTCAACTTTAAAACGCTACAGCCACAAGAAATGTTAACCACGCTTTATAAAAAAGCCATAAACAGCTTAAGCAGTCATTGTTGCCTAATTTTTTTGGACATGATATTAGTCTCCAACTGCCTATTACAACTTTAAAACGCTACAGCCACAAGAAATTTTAGTCATGCTTTATAAAGAAGCCGAAAGAAGTTTAAGCTGCATGACTCATTATTGCCTACTTTTTTTATAGGCAACAATGGTCTCTAAACACCCACCTCAACTTTAAAACAAAACATTCAAATATACATAAGCAAAGAATAAAAAAAATCATTTTAAAGTACAAGGAAATGAAAATATTTTCCTTTAGTTTTTGCAACAGTAAATATTTTTTGTTTGTTTGTAATTAAGCACATAGCTACACAATGGGATATCTGTGCTCTGCCCACCACGGGTATCGAAACCCGGAATCTAGCGTTGTAAGTCCGCAGACATACCGCTGTGCCACTGGGGGGGGGGCAGTAAATATTAAAAGAATAAACGTTCCTGATTAAACTCGAAAATCTTTGTGATGCAATAGATCAGTTAACCAAATAATGAAACCAAGTTTTAATAAAATAATATTTTAATCTAGTTTAACAATCAACTTGTTTACCGAATATTTACACGTTAAGTTTTATTGTTACTTTGTTTGATCGAGTTTCAATCAAATATGTATATTTAATAGTTACTTATTTATGATAATCATAACCAGTATTTGACAGTACAATACACAAATAGTTTTTAAATCAGATTTTCCTTATACTCTAACTTATCATTATGGTCTCTCTCGCTTAGGGCCCGGCATGGCCAGGTGATTAGGGCGCTCGACTCGTAATCTGAGGGTCGCGGGTTCGAATCCCCATCACACCAAACATGCTCGCCATTTCAGCCGTGAGGGCGTTATAATGTGACGGTCAATCCCACTATTCGTTGGTAAAAGAGTAGCCCAAGAGTTGGCGGTGGGTGGTGATGACTAGCTGCCTTCCCTCTAGTCTTACACTACTAAATTAGGGACGGCTAGCTTTGCGCGAAATTCAAAACAAACAAACTCTCTCGCTTTTTTTTCTTTCTTTTTTGAGAATAAAATCATATTATAGGAGCTAGGTCGATTCCAAACTGTTTTTTTTTCTTCATTTTTATAATTGTTCAGTTTTCTGAATTATTGTCAGGGTCTACACACTTGAAGTAGTGTCGTAGGAAGCGGGGGTGGGATGCGGGGGCACTTATCAATCATTCCCAATTAAAATACATTAAAATAGGAAAAATTGCTATCAGGAAAAACAGGAGAATTCATAAAATTTAATCTATAACCCAAAAGTTTCCGGAGCCTTAAGTTGAGCACTGGACCCTGGCCGTAATGGATGCGCCTTTGGTGGGCATTCCCTCGCTTTGCTTGATCAAGTAAATCTTGGTTCCCCACTTTCAATTTGCCTCCTACACCTGGTGATGTCTTTGGGAGCGACAGAGCTTTACATCATATAGTGTTAACGTTTGAATGTCTTAATCAGAGCTATAGTGCCTTATAGTTCGGAATTTTAATATTTTTGTATACGAGTCACAGTTCGTACTAAATAGCTGAAAGTTCTGATATATTATATTTTGTTCACAGTTGTAGAAGCTTTATATCTGAGAGTTTTAATGTTTTGGTATCTTGTTCACAGTTGTAGAAGCTTTATATCTGAAAGTTCTGATATCTTATATCTTGTTCACAGTTGTAGAAGCTTTATATCTGAAAGTTCTGATATCTTATATCTTGTTCACAGTTGGAGAAGCTTTATATCTGAGAGTTTTAATGTTTTGG